AGAACGAATCAATTACAACAGGTCACTACCCAGAAGATTCACAGCATCGAGATCCCTGGAATTTTTTCTACAATTACACCAAGGGTTCCAATGTATTTTACAAATTAAAACAAAAACAAGCTGCAGTGTTGTAGGCGCTTGGCTTATGCAGCCAGCCTAGAACCTTGAGCAGGACTTGGCTTGGTGATACAATACAAATTTGGAATGGCCAACTAAAGCTATTCGAGAAAACTACAAGCATATCGACCACCAGAAAGAGTTAGTTTCTCTGCTTTGGTTACTGCATCTATTGGGATAGGGCTGAAGCTTCGAGAAGGACCATAGAAATGAGGGAAGCTATTGGAACCATCCACAAGTTCATAAATCAATCCATCACCAAGCTGCAAAGAAAAAAGCTCATGTAATATCAAGTATAGAGAAGCGCAATGTAAGAACATGGAGAATGGAAAAAAAAAAATAGGCGGATAGAAAGCTGTACAACATCCCTGTGATAATAATTTTTTTAGAAAAATAATAGACTAAAAAAAGTCTGAAATCACCTTATTCTACATGGATCCTTTTCCTTTAGCACAGAGAGTGCCTTGATTGTTCGTTGGTTTTAATTGAAAATTGTAGATCCTTGACCTATGAAAAAGATTAATTTAACATGTAAATGAATGATCGGTTGGACTACTCATCGTTTCGGGAAGGCATTTTAACGGATTGGAAAAACCTTCCATTTTCTTTGCCAAGTTCTGGAGAGCCTCATGCTTGTTTGCCAGTTCCATGAGTACTTTGATCCTTTTAAACGAGACGTTACTAGGCTTATGCCCCTTATCTACCATCTGCAGAAAACACATCTCTGCTTCCACCAACTTTCCCAAATCAYAGAGAAGATCAAATAACTCCTCAGATACTAATATATAAGATCCAAATCCCCTTACTACCATGTCATTCCATAGCTCCAGTGCCATTTCTACCTTTTCATGCTTCTTAAATAACCTCATTAGAAACAAGCAGGACTGCGTATTAGGCAAGCACCCCGTATCCATCATTCGCCGGTACAAGTTCCACGAGCTTTGCAAGTCATTTGACCAGAAGAAGATCCTAAAGAACAAGTTGTATGTAGTAGCATTTGGACTCAAACCCTTATTCACCATTTCATCCATCAAATCAAAAGCCTCGCGAAGCCTCTTCGCAATGCAGAAATTTCGTATCGCAGCATTATAAGCTGCAACATCAGGATAACATCCATACTCCTTCATTTCCTTCAAAATATTTCTCGCTTTGTCTGGTTGACCGATCAACCCGAGTCCCCCAATGATACTAGTGTACGTAATCACATCAGCATGTATATCCTCATCCTGCATTCTCTCAACAACCTTGTACGCCTTGTCCATTTCCCTGTTTTTACAATAAACATCAACCAAACAATTATATGAAACAACATCAGGCTTGACCCCCATTTCTCTCATCTCATCAAAGAATCCCTCGGCTTCTTCCGAGGACTTCCAACCCGACAATAATATGTTAAACGTCTGCAAGTTCGGTCTAAACTTACTCTTCATACCGTGATACACATTCCTCGCATCCGTCATACTCTTCTCCTGGCACAGAGTTCTCAACAAGGCATTGAAGCAGGCCACATCAAACTCAGGAACAAACTTCTTAAACTTCCTAAAAGACTCCACAGTCTGTCTCACAGAGCAGACTTTGGCAATTCTTCCCAAAACAACCATAACAGTCCGCGGCGTGATTAACGACCGATCTTTAAGCTTAACATCAACCAAAACGTCCCAAATCTTTTCAAACTTCCGGCTCCTGCCTAAGATATAAAGCATGCTATCCACAGAAAACGCAGTGTGATAAAATCCCCTTCTTCTACCAGTGTAATTAAAGAACTCCAAGGCCTGTAAAGGATTACCGTGACTAAACCTAACCCTCTTAAGAACCCCATCGATCAACTCATTTGAGAGGAAAACCCTAGCCGATTTCAGAGAATGCCTCATATTTGTTGACGAGTTTGAACTACTAATTATGCGGAAAATTGTTTCTACTTTGCCGTTTAACGATTGATTTTCATTTGCAGATGAAAATGGATGCGAGAAGGAATTGGATAACGGAATAGGTGGGAAGTACCTGGGCGTTGGCCGGAGAATCATCGCCGTATGAAACTGAATATGAAGTATTCGATGAGAAGAAATTGGATAATGGGGTTCCTCTGATAGGTTGGCCGGATGAACGCGGTGATGATGACGGAGGAGATCAAGGCGGCGTTGAGACGGAGGAGGAGATTGCGAAAGTGGTGAAGTGTTTGGAAGGCGAAGAGCGGAAGAAAATGAGTGCTAAAAATGAAGTATTTGAAAGATGCGGCGAAAACGGGGGTTGTTGTTTGTTGGAGAAGTGGGTCTTCTACCCAAGCCCTCAAGCAATTCCAATTGGAACACCCAAATTTGTGGTTAACATTGTTTCGATTTAATTCCTAATTCCTGAACTTTAGTTTTCAATGGTCCGGGGAGGAAAATTACTTTGACAGGACGAGTCGAGAGTAGGTCTACCTCAAACCTTTCGAGGTGGATTACTTAGCCATTTTCTCTCTATTTTATCCATGTTAAGGGTTCGATCTCCTCCAGGATCTACCTACCAAATCCAACATATCCGATAGGGGTGTTCAACGGAACCGACAGAACCGAAAAACCGAACTGAAACCGAACCAAATTTTCGGTTTGACGATTTGGCGGTTCAGTTCGATTCAGCAGAAAAGCAGAACCGAAATATTCGGTTGGATTTCGCTTTTCGAAAGCAAAACCGCCTAAGAAATCGAACCGAAACCGAATACCTATAGTTTTATTTAATATATATATCTGTTAAATGTTAATATCAATAATATTAAAAAAATTACAAAGTAAACATAATAGTCAGCCGCAGTGCACAGTCTGCGGCAACGTGAGCCGGCACTGGGCAGTGGCAGTAGTGCACACTGCCCAATAATAGCCAGCCCCTGACCTAGCTATAATTTTTTTTTTTTCAGTTTTTCAATCCGGTCTGTTTTCACCATTTATTTTAGTTTAAACAAAATTTCAAATTCAAACATTCAAATTTCGAATTAAGTTTTTTTTTTCTGTTTCTTTATTTTTATATAAAATTAATAATATTTTAATAATTTTATATTTTTACAAAATAAAAATATGAATTAGCCAAATTAGGGTTTTGAAACTTGGGAAATTTGAATTTGTGACCCCTCCAATAATTGAAACGGGATAAATGATCTCATTTTTAAAAAACCTAATTTGTGACCCCTCCTTCTATTAATTATGACCCCTTTCAAAATATGACATAATGAAATTACCATTGTACCCCTATTTTAAAAAAATTCATCCCCCCTCCCCATCCTTCGGACGTTTCGTGGCACTCTCATCTCATCCCAAATAAAACCCTAAACCCCCATCTCGGAGAATCCCCGTCTCGGAGAATCCATTTCACACTCATCCATTTTTTCTGAAGATCATTCTTTCGCACTCATCTGTAAGCGTCGGATTCATTTAGGAGGCTGCAAGGTTAGTTTATATCTTTTACAATGTAAGAAAGTTGCTGTTCTTTATTGTATTAGCATGATCGGCGCTATCTGAAGCGACCGTATAGATTTAGGTTTAGTTTGACGTTGTCATTGTAAGAGAAAAAAAATCTCTCGAAGGTTTCAATCTCGGACTCTATCTCGTATTCAATCCCAGACCTCAGTGGTCCGAGATTGAATACT